CCTCCATACCACCGTTCCTGTTCTCTTCCATTGCCGGCGGCAGAAAGGCTTAAGCTCATTTCCTAACCTGCAAACCAACCTCACAACCTCATCTCCTTGTTTTAACTTTCATTAACAGTGTTTGTGCCGTTTCGTAGATAAACACTTCGAATGCTATCTGGGATTTTACCAGTGACCAGTAAATCGTGTACAGTGGTTGTTCCGATAGCGAAGTTACCAGAAATTTGAACAGTTGGGTTCGTTGTTTTAGGAAGACGGTATTTACATTCGTGTAAAACCAAAACTTTTCCACTTTATCTAACACCATGGAAGCAACTTTCTGTAAAAGATTTCATTGTGGTGGTATTGATTTATCAATAAAAGATGAGTTCTTTATTGGATTTGGCCCGATATTTGCGAACCTTGACATTCCAGAGGACAACCGGAAGTCAGATTGAGTTTACAACAGTCTTGTTTACTGGATCTTCAATTATTTTTCAATTTAGTTGATTTTTAAGTTATTGGGTATTGTTGTTTCTCTTCACCGGTTTTATGTTTCTTTGCAATCGGCTATGAGCTATTTGAGGCGAAATATGCAGATAATGATGTGAATGACCCATGGGTTTAGAGACTTCTCCATTCTATTGAAGCAATAATGATGCAAAAAAAGGTTTAATCAGCTATTCGGGCAGGGCTGTTATATAAGTGTAGTTTAATGTCATGGAAACATCTTTGGAATATAATGTTAGAGATGACTGGAACATGCTTTGGCAAAGTGAGATACAATAACTTCAATGATTTTTAAATTTATTTATTTATTGAGTTTTATTGAAACAACTCAAATTTTTATTTTCAAAATATTTTTCAATTAAATTTAATGAACCGACAGCCTGGAAATTCATATTAGTATTTTAGTGCGAACATTATGAGAAACCAAACCGAAAACCGATTGAAAAGCCGTAAATCAGTTGAAAATCAAAGATTTGGGCCGAACCGAATCGAATCAAACAGGTTTGACCCAGACCATCTAGAATTCTCTTCTTCCTCTATTTCCAGCGCATGCCTCACTTTCCTTACCCATATTTTTCGTACGCCTTCGACCACCGCGTAGCACCACCAGCGGCTCCGCCATCCTCTCCTCTCTTCTTCTTCTTCTTCTTCTTCTTCTTCTCCTTTCTTCTTCTTCTTCTTCTTCTTCCTTTCTTTCTTTCTTTCCTTTTTCTTTCTTCCTCTTCGCCTTTCTTTCTTTTCTGTTCTCGTTTTCTTCACTGCATCTTGCGCCTTAGCGAGACAAGAGGCTAGGTAGCAGGGCGTCCCCTGCGCGGAGACCTCCAGCTCGATATGGACTCCTCGCGCGCACATCCAGCCGCTCCCAGCCGTCGCATGCGATCCGCCAGTCCCTGGTCAGATCGCGCGGCACACAGACCCGGCCCTCCCCTCTCCTTCGATCGGCCGCCGAAGGCAATCGCGCTCGCATCACAGCTCGTGCTGCGCCATCGCCACTTTGCCTCAGCCATCGCTCCCAGACGTGCCTTCCGACCAACCAGAACGAGCCTGTCCAGTCTCTTCGGCGGCCTGCCCTTCGCTCCTCCGCCACTTGCCGTGCAACTCCTTCCGGCCAACCAGCCCCCATTTCGCGTTTATCAAATCCGGTAACAGCATGTATATATGTGGGTATAATTTTAATTTAGTAAATATTAAGTTATTTAAATAATTTTTATTATTTGTAGTTATTAATTTTAGGTTAATTAATTTAGTAATTGTGAGTCAGTTGAAATGTGGAGTATGTATAATGTAAGCGTTGATTTAATTAAAATTCTTGTTAATTTAAAGAATTTAGATTCAGTAAAAATAAATTGTTAGGTAAATTATGGTTTAAGCGAATTTAAAAGAAAAATTGTATGGAATTTAATGTTGATATGGAATGTGGAGGAACGGGTACTAATTTACCGGATTGATTTGCCCCACCAGATGGGCTGTTGTGTTTTGGGAATAGTTTGAGTTTAATTGTTGTGATTGTTAGGCCAGGTGGAGTAGCCATATTTTAGGGAGGTGTTTGGCCGAAATTTCGATAGAACCTTGGACTAGTTTTAATTAATAATATAAATTATATAACAGTTTATTTCACGATAAATTCCTTGAATAATTTGAATACATAACAAATAAAGTGCTCTGAATTATTTATTTATTAATCATTATTATTCATTTTAATTATTCCGCTTATTTATTATATTATTTTATTATTATTTTCATCATTATATTGTTTATTGATTAGTCATTTATTCTTATCATGGTATGGTATTATTATTATTATTATTATTATTTTATTTATTTATCATTGTTGTTATTGTTAATATGTAATTTATTTAATTATGTTTAGCATTCATTTAGAATGGATGTTAATTCGTACATTGCCTTCCATCATGTAAACTTGATCAATATGTCTGGCATTTAAATTTGCAATGTTTTTGATTAATTTGTTGTGATAAGCTGCCTAAAGTGCTTTGTTTTGTGTGGAGTTGGGATGAATGGTGGGTCACTAATGGTTGTGCAGACTGTTTCTGTTATTATGGATCGTATTCTGTTTCTGTTAGCCGGGTAGCTGGGAGATTCGGCGCCTCCCGTGTGTCACCTACCGTTACCTTTTGTTACTGGTTAACCTACAGGTTGGCTTTCTTTAGTTGGGTGCAGTCCGGAGTAAATCTAGAATTTGATCGACAGCCTGCAGGGTGCCTCTGTGTGAGCGCGCTGCAGGGATCTAGATTCTGATGGGAGACGAGCCGGGTTGCCTCCTGTTGGTATCATAAAAGAAAATGAGACGGATAGAATAGAATACAATGAGAGGGCCGCTGGTAAGGGTGAGGTTAGAAACCGCGCCAGTATGGGGGATCGGCTCACCTGGGCACATGTTGTGAGAGGGATGAGCCATGTGGAGACGGCCATCGGGGTCGGTGATCCTCCCACTGACTCAATTCCCTACGTGAGATGTGATTCATATAAGATGTTTTAATGATTGTGAGTGGCTGGTGATTTGCCATTTTTGTGTGACGTGGTCTGCGCTGAGCGATATAACTAGTCGGCGATGACTAATCGGATATGCTTTACACATTGTCGTGACTGCGTGTGTGTGGCGAGTAATTATTTCTCCTTAGTAGAAACTCACAAGTTTTTGCTTGATTTTTCAGGAGAGTATGTTTTTCTTTAAATACGATGTTGGCTATGTGTCTCTCGGTCATCGCAACTAGAGAATTTCCTAATTCATAATTATTTTAATATGTAATCATGTGTATAAAAAGCTTTGTATACAAAAGATGTTAGTGACTCCCGCAGTTGTAGATTTGTCCATATATTTAAGTCATTATTGTAAAATTGGGACCCGAATTATAGGAAGATGGGCTGGCGAAGATAAACTTGGCGAGAAATAGTAAAATATGAGATGTTCTATTTTTCATAATTATATGGGCTGAATGTTGAAATGTTATAGACCGAATAAACATAGATTAGTTGTTTCAGGCTTACTATGGGCCCTCGGGTCTTAAGCTTACCCTGGGCCCTTTTTAGTGTTTCAGGCTTACTATGGGCCTCGGGGGTCTTAAGCTTACCTGGGCCCTAGTGCCGGTCCGACCCATGGAATCGGGTCGTGACATTTATAGTTGCAAAAAATGGAGATTTGCAGAGATGAAGAAAAAAAGGACGTTGGATTTAATTTTTATCTTATCTGAAAGGGTATTTTAGTCTTTTACAAGACATTTAACAGAAAAAATCTCAAAAAATTTATATAGAAGAACACTTAATACGAAACCAATAAATATTTAATAGTAAAAAATGCGATGAATTGAATAATTTTATAATACTTCAAGATGAAAAAAATATTTTCCCTTCCATTCTTAGTGGGTTAGACTACGTGCTGGGACTGGGGCCTAACAGTAACACTGATAAAAATGTAAAATACAAATTATGAAAAAAATTCCATTATTTTACCCTATTAATGTGCTAATAAATAATTTAATAACATAAATTTTTGTTACTTACCAAAGAAATCCTAGAGCATTACATAAATATTAAAATAATAAAATAAAATTCTTTCAACTATGTATTTTATTTCTATATTATCTATATTTGAGAATGAAATTATCCTAATTGCTATAAATTTTTTCTATTATCGATAATATAGTCAAATTGTTATTTATTTAATAATAAATAAATAAATTTTTAATTATTTAATTGCATATATCATAAATATCATATTTTTAAATCTATAAAGGTGTTCCATTATATGTAAATATAATTTGATATTAAAATAAAATTGATTGTTATTATTTAATAATAAAATACTATCGGTACAATTAAAATATAAAAACTAAATGCCCTATGTTAAGATTGAAACTTATAATATTTTAATATCATTAAATCAAATTAATTAATCGATTTTAAAAATTGTGGTTACAAGATAATAAAATTAAGTGAAAAACTAAACGTATCACAAAATGGACTATGTTTCGACCTTTTAAGATAATATTTAAAAAAAGAGAAATATTTTCTTATTTTCAATTGCAACTGACAGTATTATTGCCATAAATATGAAAATAGGATTAGATGGCAACAACTCTTAAAATTCTGAGTATTATGATACATGAAAATATAAATATTAAAATTTTAAATGAATAATTCAAACTTAACGAATATACGCCCTACTTTGCGATGGCAAACCCAAAGGTTATGGTTTGTGCTGGAGAGATACCGTACAAAGAGTAAATGAAGAAGAACGATGAAGAAAAAAAGAATTGAACCGAATTTAAAACAAATCTATCATAGATTTTTCAAAATCTCGTTTTCCTTAAGTCGTTTTGCTTGTTTTAAAATTTTTTTATGGGATCACTGAATATAATTAATAAATTAGCAAAATTAACCTTTATTTGTTTTTATTTATAAGAGCATTATTAAATCTATGATTTTAGTATTTGCATCAAACGAGAGGTTATAAAAATCCATGTAATAGAAAACTTATTAATTTCATGATATTTGACCAAAATATATAGATTTGAAAATCCTCAATTTAAAAATTCATAAAAGTAATTGCATTTTATACAAGTTACACATCTACTAGGGCCATAAAAACTTCATGCGAGTAAACCTGAGTTATCAAGTCACGAGCAAGTTATCCTTGTCTCAGGCTTTCCTTGACAGAAATGTCAAAAAGAAAAAGCTATTTCTTACAATTTCAAGGATAGCTTTATATCGTGCGCTCCCTGTACCTCAGCATTCAATCTGAGGCTATAATACAAGGAGAGAGATTTCCCCTATGCCCGAAATCAGTGAACAGTTTCTTTCCGAAGCTCTGCCAACAAACATTATCAGATGCTAGGAATAATTCTTGATCGATCGGTCAACTTTCCTGGTATAATTTCACAACGTCGAGCGCTTCACATAGGCCAGAACACCAATGCCAGTTAAAACAACTGCACCCGCCAAGATAGCAGAGTGGAAAGAACCCCATCCAGTCCTCTCAGCAGTCATCTTACCCGCCTGAGTTACTGTTTGCTGACTGGAATCAGAAAAATCAAGATGCAACCTTAAAGCCTGTGTTAGAGAAACATAAAATAATTACTTCGACATCCGAAAATAAAATCCACCGACAACTGCATATCTCAACATTTTCAATGAGAAACAGTACTAAATTAAAGAACATAGCAGACCATGCAGCATGTTTATATATATATCCCAACATTTCAATGTGAAACATACTTAAATTAAGAAGCTATAGCAAGACCAAAATGCAGCATGTTTATATAGTATATAATTATATTATATATATAGTATATATAATACCTCACATCAATTATTTCAGGGCGAACTCCCTTGACAAAGTGGAAATTTTCAAGCACGATTACCCCAAGTAATTCAAAATATATAATAACACTCACTATCATTAATTTCAGGGCAACTCCTTGAAAAGTGAAATTTCAACACATTACCAAGTAAATTTCAAAACTAAGTCCAGTCTAACAATATTTTGAATAGTAACAGTCCTATTTAGAACTGATTATCACTGATTATGCAATAAAAATAAAATTTTTTACATTCTCATTCCCTCCAGTCTACATACCCCAAAAATCAAATCAGAGCCATACATTACAAAGACATTAATCTCAAACATTCATCTTCAAGCTATACATGAGACTTTCATGATATTAACAATAATGTAAATGATATCAACAATAATCCATTAAAATTACTCACATACATTCCCTGTAAGGCTGGTCTACTAGTTAACTGGACTCGAGTTTGAGCACTAGCCAAAGCATTTATATATTTCTTTTCTCCTCTCAACCATCCTAATTATCGTCAACAATTAAATGAGACCTCCATTTGATCCCCATGTTCACCTTTAGTCCACAAATATTCTAACCCTGCATCGCTGCCTCTTGCAAAATTATTGAATTCACACATATGCTCATGGACTTACTAAATCCACTGTAATTGACCTGAATTTGCAAATGGACCTTATGTGAGAGAGTTTCAATTTCCAAGTGTGATCCATAATGATAGAAAGGCTCCTGATCCTAAACCATTCCTAGTGTATTGTAGAAGAGGGAAACCTGCTGAGGGCAGCAAAGGGAATTTCAAATACAGAATTGGGGACCAAGAAATAGAGACACGTAAGCAGATTCCTCATGAACAGCCTATTTAAAATGAAGATGAGAGAGAAAGGCATCTTGGTACAATTCAGTTATTTGAGCAGAGCAATCTGCATGGGCAAAGGCCTGGAGGCTGATTCAGCCATTATTTTCTCCTTGTTAATTTTCTGCTTCTTCTTCCTTGTAACCAGAAAGGACAGCTTCAATTGATTATTAATACAAATGTGTTTTTTCCAGCTTCATCTCTAATATCTCTATTTTTTTGAACTGTATCAACATTCTTAACTCTAACAATTGGTCCGACCTGCCGGATCCCAACATGACAAAAATGAGAATGGAGGAAAGAATTGAAGCTTTAGAGAAGAACGTTGCATCTCTAGAATTATCCATCGCCACCATCAAACTAGACCAACAATGCCAGATTCTGGACCAAAATCAAAATTTTTCGGAGTTAAAAAATCTTATCCTCAAGGGCAAAACCATACCAGATTCCGGCGATGATTCTTACGCCCACCAACCTGTTACCAATCCCTAGGTGCCCATTTTACCACTAATATTATTGAACCCACACCTTTCACAGCCAAAAAACTTGAGATGCCTTCGTTTTCTGGAACAGACCCAGTGGGTTGGATTGCTAGAACAGAACAATACTTTGAGCTCCACAACATTTCCCCAAACCTCCAAGTATCCTTGGCTCTTATCTCCATGGAGGAACATCATCTTCACTGGTTACGGTGGCTCCGAAAAAGAACCAACACTCTGACTTGGGATAAATTAAAAGAAGAGTTGCTACAACGCTATGGTGGTGATATGGCGGATAACCCATTTGAATACCTCATAGCAATCAAACAAACAAGAACAGTGTCGGAAAACATCGACGACTTTATCTATCGCGCGGCGCAAATTCCAGATCTGTCAGATTCTCACCTTCTTGGTTATTTCCTAAATGGGTTGCGAGGTGAAATCAGAGTCCGACTTCGATCATATGATGCCGTCGACCTCTATAAATCCACAAAGTGGCCCGCGAGATTGAAAGAGAACTTGCCCAAGCCACTCCGACCAAAGCCCTCTCGCCAAAACTTTGGTGAGACCCACTCCACGGCCCGCTATAGTATCGGCCCAAAATCCATTACACCAGTCCCCCTTCGGATCCAAGCCCTAAACCAAACACACCCGACTCGAAACACGCTCCACAACACTAAACAGAATCACAAACACAAACCCAGGCACTCGACACCCTTTGTTACCACCTCATCCACCCAAAATCGTGGCGTCCGCCATTATTCTCATAAGGAGTATCAGGAACTTGGGCTAAGGGTCTCTGTTTCCGCTGCAAACAGCCATACTCACTCCCCCATGAGTGTCCTAATAAGTCTCTTCGAGCCATCAGGATGAGCAAATCTCAGAAACAGAAGATAGCCAGATTACTGAGCTTGAAGGTGACATTCCCTTCCCACCAGTTGATATTGATGAAGTTCATTTCTCTTATCTGGATATTCCCTTGTATTCGGTTGGAGGGATATCGCGACCAAGAACGATGAAACTTACGGGGCCATTGCTCTCTTCCTCTGTTGTAATTATGATTGATAGTGGTGCTAGCCACAATTCATCTCCAATGATCTGGCCTCTGCACTAAAATTATCAGTGAGCTCCACTCCATCTTTTAGTCATCATATCAGGTCCAATGGGGTGTGCCGCCAATTGAAGCTCGATTTGGATTCGCTGGTTATTACTGGTGATTTTTATGTATTTCCCTGAAGTGGCGTAGATATAATTCTTGGCATGGCGTGGTTAGAGACGCTCAGAGATGTCCGGGTTAACTGGCAGAAGCTCACAATGATTTTCCAACATCAGGGCCATAATATACTCCTGACTGGGGATCTTTCTCTTACAAAGAGGCCTCTCTTGTAAGTCTATCAACAAGGTATCTAATACTGACTTTCTGTGTGTTGCTATGGACTATGTCACCTGATCCCACCCCACCAGATACCTCTACTACTAATCTGCATTACTAGCTTCAGCAAGTAAAAACCTAATTTTTTGACATTTTTAGCGAGATTACCAAGCTTCATAGGCAAGCTGATCGTCAGATATCTCTCCAACCAAGCCAAGGACCAGTATCAATTAAACCTTACAGCTATAGGCACTATCAGAAAGATGAAATCAAGCGCTTGGTGAAAGACATGCTTACTGCTGGAGTAATCCGCCCCAGCTCAAGCCCTTTTTCTAGACCGGGGCTCGATTCTTCTCTAAATTGGATCTTAGGTCTGGATTCTTTCAAATTAGAGCTGCAGAACCAGACACACACTCAACAACATTCCATACTCATTCGGGCCACTATGAGTTCCTTGTGATGCCTTCGGACTCACCAATGCTCCGGCAACTTGCGAAGCAGTTATGAATGATATTTTCCGTCCTTATTTACTTAAATTTGTTCTCGACATTCTGGTTTATACCGCAGATTGGGAAACTCACTTAAGCCACTTGAAGATTGTCTTACAGCTCATGCGGGACAATTCCTTCCACCTTAATGGAAAGAAATGTTCATTGGGTCGTCAGTTGAGTATTTGGGCCACACCATATCAGCTCAAGGTGTTTCAATGGACCCTTCCAAGATCACTAGCATACTTCAACGGCCTGTACCAACATCTGTTAAGGCTGTCCATGGTTTCCTCGGCCTTACTAGTTATTACCACCAATTTATTCAGCACTACAGTTCAATAGCTAGTCCTTTAACAACCCTACTAAAGAAGGAAGCTTAAGCCAATTTCCAATGGAACTCTTTAGCTCAGTGATCATTGATACCTTGAAGGCAGCTATATCCCCTGTGCTAGCAATGCCTGATTTCTCTTGTCAATTTATAGTGGCGACTAATGGCTCTAAATCTGGGAATCGGGGCTGTTCTAATGCAACAAAATCGACCAATAGATTTCTATAGCAAAATCCACCGGAGATCCAACTTTAGCAAGATCAACTTATGAAAATGAACTCATGGCCTCGGTATTAGCCATCCAGCATTGGCGTCCCTATCTAATTGGGCGAAAGTTTATTGTTTGTACTGATCAAAAAGTCTCAAACACTTACTGCAGCAAGAGGTTTCCACCCCTGCTCAACAATACTGGGTTGCAAAACTAATGGGGTATGACTTTACTATAGAATATAAGCCTGGCAGATCTAATCGGACAGCTGATGCTTTATCCAGGCATGAGGAGGAATTTCAGATTCAAGTGATATCTGCTCCTCAATGGGTTGATTGGGACCTTATTAACAAGGAAATCCAGCAGGACTCAATTGTCTCAGATCATCTCTGACTTGAATAGTAACAAGCGACATCATTGACATTTTTCTCTAATTCATGACGGACTCTTCTATAAAGGAAGGCTGGTTTTACCTGCATCCTCTAAATGGGTACCAACAATCATTACTGAGTTCCACTCCACTGCCATTGGCAGTCATTCTGGTGCTTTCCGAACTTATAAGAGAACTGCCTCCAATTTCTACTGGTATCGTATAATGTCCTCAATTCAAAAGTTTGTTGCAACCTGCTTAACATTTCAGAAACACAAATATGAAGCCAAAAATCCAGCTGGCCTTTTGCAGCCCCTTCCTATACCAGCAAGGATATGGGAAGATATCTCAATTGATTGTGTTACTGGATTACCTCGATCACATGGCATTGGTTGTATATTGGTAGTAGTGGACCGACTGTCAAAATATGCCCACTTCATTCTGTTAAAGCACCCATTTACTGCCATCGTTGCAAAGCTATTTGCCAAAATAATAGTCAGACTACATGGAGTGCCTCAGACTATATAGTCAGCGATAGGGACCCAATCTTCTTAAGCCACTTTTCGACAGAGCTGTTCCGTTTACAAGGTACCCAGCTATACTTTAGTTCTTATCATCCACAAAGTGATGGCCAAACCGAGGTACTCAACCGTAGTCTAGAATCGTACCTGCAATGTTTCTCCTCTGAGCAGCCTAAAACCTGGTTGAAGTGGCTCTGCTGGGCTGAACTCTCGTATAACACAAATTTCCAAGGTGCTACAAAGAAAACACCTTTGGAGGCTGTTTATGGAAGACCTTCCCCGAGTATCCAACACTACCTACCAGGCGAAACAAAAGTTGAAACCCTTTCCCAGCACCTACAAAGCCGGGATGAAATACTAAGACAGCTGCGTTACAACTTGCATCGAGCCCAGCAGCTTATTATTGAATATGCCAATAAGCGTTGCAGGGATCTCCAATTTTCTGTTGGTGGTAAGGTGTTCCATGTTTATCAGCTGAAGAGAGTTGTTTGTGACCATTCTGTGGTTGAGAGTTTACCCGAAGGGTTGGAGGTGCAAGAAGGACCTATACTGGAACCTGCTAAATTCTGTCAAAGAAGATCTGTGCAAGATGGTGATTTACAGAAAACTCAAGTGCTGATACAATGGAAAGGGCAGAGTGAAGAAGAGGCAACTTGGGTGGATGAGTCTGATTTCTCAGTTCAGTTCCCTCACTTCTGCCTTGAGGACAAGGCTGTTTTTCCAGCAGCAGGTAATGATAGAAAGGCTCCTGATCCTAAACCATTCCCAGTATATTCTAGAAGAGGGAAACCTGCTGAGGGCAGCAAAGGGAATTCAAAATACAGAATTGGGGACCAAGAAATAGACACGTAAGCAGATTCCTCATGAACAGCCTACTTAAAGAATGAAGATGAGAGAAAAAGGCATCTTGGTACAATTCAGTTATTTAGAAAGGCTCCTGATCCTAAATCATTCTCCAGTACTTGTCTAGAAGAGGGAAACCTGCTGAGGTCAGCAAAGGGGAATTCAAAAATATCAGAATTGGGGACCAGGAAACCTGCTGAGGGCAGCAAAGGGAATTCAAAATACAGAATTGGGGACCAAGAAATAGACACGTAAGCAGATTCCTCATGAACAGCCTACTTAAAGAATGAAGATGAGAGAAAAAGGCATCTTGGTACAATTCAGTTATTTTGGCAAGAGCAATCTGCACGGGCAAAGGCCTGGGGGCTGATTCAGTCATTATCTTCTCCTTCTTGTTAATTTTCTGCTTCTTCTTCCTTGTAACCACAGAGGACAGCTTCAGTTGATTATTAATACAAATCTGTTTTTTTCCAGCTTCATCTCTAATATCTCTATTTTTTTGAACTGTATATATCAACATTCTTAACTCTAACGCATAATCTCTTCCTCCCATTGAGACTCCTCATGTCTCTTTCCCACTCAACAATGAGCTCTTTCTCCTACAACTGTTCTGCTCAATCTTCTCTCTTTCCCCAAATTATCTTCTTTCACCTAACTTGTAAGCCTAACACTAAACATCCAATTCCCTTATCGCCACTTCATACCTATCAGAATCATTTTTTTAACAGTCAAATATCCTCTCTTTTACAATCTGACTCCAGTGCACTAAAATCAAGTCAACTTATCCCCAAACTCAAGCTCGTAACCTCAAGCTTGGTTCCTTGAACTTACCAAGCTAAATTAAGCTGAACCAGCCATAGATTTCCAAAGGCATCAAGTGAACTTTACAGCACCATACTAAATAAAATCATAATCACAGAAGCAACATATTACCTTCAATCCTGCTGTTCTAGCATGGTTGACAGCGCCAATAAGATCACCCTCAGTTGCAAGTAAAACTTTGTCGCCTTCATCATCCTCGTACTGCAAAAAGTTAAAAGGCTAATATGACCAGAAAATGAAATCGACAATGCAGAAACCAAAAACACAGATATTAGCCTATCTCACCATAAGTTGAGGATGATCTTGACCATTAAGAATACCAATCCTCTGCAATACAGCAGAAGTAAGCTCACCTAAATTTTCAGTGCCTGAAAATAGGAAAGGCAAGTAAAATTGTATTGCCTTTTTATTGGATAACCTTACTGGAATGCACCCTATGAAGCTTGAAGCAAACATGCCTTTTTCACCTAATATCATAACAAAATAGCAAGATCCAAAGTCTGGTTGATCTTTTCTTTAACGAGCCTTTTCCTTAATCTTTATTGTCAATTAATAAGCTACAACATGCTCATAGTCTATCTACAAAAGTATGCTGCACAAAAATCCAAAATGGGGTAGTATCGACCCCTCGTAGCAATATTGTGCACAAAATGCAAATGCACGTTAGCCTTCACCATATTAAAATCAAAATCATGTCACCACAATTCTCCCATAAGAAAATTCCCTTGTCAGTTGTCACAGGTTAACATGCCAACCCATAAGGAGTGCAGGGTTTTAACCTGAATACTACTAACTCTGTTCCTAAATACTTGGCACATTTAGAATTTCACATTTCTGAAAAAAATTATTAAATTTGTCTAAGTTACAATAATTTGTTGTGCAAATTGACTACATTACTCCTAATTTAATATATCCAAACACCAAATTTTTGAGAACTTGAAGCAATAATTGTTGATCATATACAAAGGATAAACATGGAAAAAAGAATTTATTACAACTTGAAATTACAAATGTGACAAATATTTTAGAACATAGCATTTTCTCAAATGTGACAAGTATTTAGAAACAGAGGTAGTATTTACTAGAACACCATTATGCCCCTTTTACACACGTGAAATTAGTGTATTTAGTATGTCCAAATAATTTCACATTCAAGAAAAATTTTAAGGAAATGAAAACAGGATAAACAAACAGACAACCATGCTACTACGTCATATTCAATGGATTGTATCATTTCAATAGTAAGTAATTAAATAGGTAAAAGTTTGTCAGTCTAACATGTTTAGTTATTAAACATATTTAAACTTAGGAATGAACACTTTTGGAATCCTTTTTTCGTTTTTCTTTTGTTTTCTTTCCTTTTCTTTTTTTTTACAATCAAATTCCTGTACCCCTTTTTTTTTAACCAAAACCCTGGCAATTTTAAACTACTAACTATTAATTCTAAATTGAAGTATCCATCAAAGGTAGTTCCATTACTCAAGTTCAATTCTTTTTTTTTTTTTTTTTTATTTCAGACCTATTACCTTGAAGAACTAGAACATTGTTTTCTCTTTTTTCTTTTCTTTTCCATTTCAAAATCCATTATTAGATCATCAATCACTTCCTTTAACAAAACTACTACTTTCAGCAAAGCGCAATACCATACTCAGCAACCATACCCACTTCATTATAGCAATATAGAATCTCAAGCCAAATAGTAGCAGCAGAATTAAGACAACACACTTATTATTAGCAATATAGAATCTCAACCAAAATAGTAGCAGCAGAGTTAAGACAACACCTTAGGTTCGTCGAAACAAAATCCCCACTGAACCAGAAAGACAACTCAAGGGCTGTTTTCAATGCTTCCATAATCAATGCGCTCAATATAGAGGAAGCCGCAGTAGCGCAGATGAATCAGAAAACGGCAGCAAACGAAAATCTGGCAAAAAGCGAGCACATCCACTGAAGCCCAAAGAACAAATTGCAACTCACTGGGTGTTGCACTGCTTTCCGACAAAGGAGAAGGTTCAAAGAAGTCAGAATACCCGTAACGTAGCATAAGGTCAGTACTAAACCCTAATGCAAAAGAATCACGTAGAAAAATCACAGAAAATTACCGTAAACCAATTGTCACAGCAAGGAAATATGTTTCCTTAAGCAAATTAAAAGCAACCACAGTACAAAGACTGCCCGACACTAGCTACAAACAGAATCGGCAGCAACGAAACCTATTGGAATAAGCAAGAAAGACATGCACTCACTGGGTTGCACGTCTCTCTTCAAGCCAAGTTCGGAGAGAGAACCGAGTGACAAAGCCCATTGGACATGGCGCCAGCGTGTGAACCAACATTAAGAAAGAGGTGCGAGTGGTTGGCCATTCGCTTGAATCCGCGACCGGATTCTGGGGAATATCCTGGGTGCGGTGAGCAAATACTAACTCCCTAGAAAGGCTTCCTAGGGTGGCATCGGCCTCTCATAAGGGAAAGTTTCGGGAATTTTCTTTTTTTTTTTGTTTTTGGAAGGCTCTGTAATTACCATGTTGACGAGATATCTTGTAATTGTATTTTCTTGTATCTCATCCAATCGTTACCACACTAGTCGATTACATAGGTCTATATATAAGGAATTCATATGCTACCTAGCTATTTAGGAATACAAATCATAAACTAATTAGGAATCTAACTACTAATAGAACTCTATTTACAACTAATCCTTAACATAAACAATTCTTATGGAAAAACTATTTTGTTCTTTGTTGATTTAAAATGATGTTTTCTCATAGTTTCATGGGTTTCATGACTAACTTCAATTTGAATTGGTGAAGATGTTAGGTTATGGTGAGATTACAAAGAAGAAAGAGAATTGAAAGAAATTATTGTTTTCCAGGACCTAGAAGAAAAGAGATAAGAAAAAATCACACACACACACAGATTGACAGATAGATAGTGTCGGTCATAAAGAATTATTGGAGATTCCTTTTAAAACCAATGCTGAATAATTTTAAAACTATTAAGACTTGAGATTTAGTCCAATCGAAGGGGACTATAAAATATTAAAAAATCAAAACTTGTTAGCCTTTAAACTTACTATTATGTATAGGTAATGCCATGTTACCTGTTTAAGAAATGGATTGTGTATTTTTGTTTCTTTTTTTTTTTTTTTTCAAAAATAATTAATCCCTAGTTTGTGATTTGTGATGTCAACCCAAACACCATTGTACCCAACCTTCAGCAGAATAGAAGTTAAATTAACATGAATTGGAACTCTTAAAACTATTGCCTTGAATCACACATACCAAAATTGAAACGATGTACTCGACCCTTGAGATCCACAAATTTGAAAGCAAAAGAATTTCCAAGACCAAGAGATGGGTAAGCATACTTCCCAACGTCAGTCCCATCTGATGTCATTATTGCAGACATTTCACTGAAATCAAAATCCTAGGATTAGTAGCAAAACTAACCAAGTCACAATATAAAATCATTGTGCAACAGCAATGACCTCTGAGTGTCATAATCATCCGGTGGATCTAAAGCTAAGGCAGAATCCCAAAACTTTTGCATCATTGTGTTTGCCACATCATTAACAGCTCCAGAACTACTCTCAACCTTTCATGGTAAATTACCTCAGTTAAATATGTTACGATAAAAAAATAAGATATAATAGGTGTAAACACAACAAAAGTGAACAATAATTATAAATATTTATCAGCACTTCATCTGCATCCTTCCTCAAGCAAACATTGGCTTAACATTTATTTAGGTGATAGATTGTGTGAATTGATTGACACAATTAGCTATTAGCATAAGCTGTAGCATAAGAAATGAAGTTTACCATCGAAATTGCCGCATGAGTTATGTGCAGAACATCTATACAGGCAGCAAGAGAACCCTCTGCACAACAAATGTTAAGTAAATTGACATAAAGATTGCTTCCTAAGACTTAAAGAGTGTAGTAGTCACCTTTATCCACAACTGGAAGATGTAAAAACTTCCCATCATGCATTATATGCAACGCATCAAGGATTGTTGTCTCTAATGTTGCACATTCAGGGTTTGCTGTCATTACCTAGAACATCCCGAAGATCAAAAAAAGGTTGTTGAGTTCATAGCAGCTCTAATGTTGCATATTCTGTATATTCTGGATAAAGCACAAAAAAAGGCCAAGTATAATTTGATACAGTTCGCAGAAGTGCACAAGCATCCCATTGTTCCAACTGTCATAATTAACATAACAAAATAGAAGTATAATCAAGGAAATAGCCTAGGATAACACCCAACTAGGGGCAACAAAAGCACTCAATTGCAATTTTGTGAATGCCACTCACGAACAAGGCAAATGCTTGATTTACAAGAGAAGACACTATCTCTTTCCTAAACTTATGTTCAACTCGAGATAATGCCCCCATCCACCCTAAGCTCCACCAAAGAGTGTCTAGTTGCCCAAGATTGTGAGAACTTTCCAGGTTTCACAGTAGTACTCCAAATATGATAAATTAACTCAGGGCTCCGGCCTTCATGTTTGACTTGTGCCCATGCTTGTTCAGCTCATTTATTAAACTTAAAGAGTTCCCAGGTCATAGCAGCTCATTTCAAGTCACTAAGTCTCTTCTATGCTCTTGAATCACCATTAAGGGGTCAAAATGTTAATTCCATGCCGCTAAATTTATTTTCTAATGCAGCAGTGTCACTCTATGTTTCATAGATTATGCATAAGAAATGAGAATGATCAAGTGTTTACACATAATGCTATTGCATATCATAGCAAGGGAAATGTCATATTCATATAGTGTAAACAAACCTACAAATTTTATGAAAAGATAATGGAATAAGCCAAAACAACTGAAGGATTAAGGCGAGACAATATCATACTGAACCTTTTCCACCAGGGTCAAATCAGGAGAATGATTTTGTGCCACAACACGCATGAGGATATCCTTCGAACTGCAAAGCAGCAACAGCATCAATGACTGATAAGTGAGCATCAACCAAAAGCAGTATTTAACTCATTTCAAGATAGTGCCAGAGAATTAAAAGAAACTTAATATAAGTCTGTCAATGAAAGAACAATACGTGAGTATCCCTTGAATTTTGTTCCCTGTGGCAATGATAATTGAATTAACCTGCAACTCACGCATCTTTTTCGCGGCAACATAGACAGGATCTAATGGTGAAGCAATTGCAACCCTACAAACATTCAAGGCTACAAAAAATTGGTAATGCAAATGCAACTAATCACCATGTGCAGATAAAAAATTCCACTAACAATACACCAAAAGGTAAGGTAGATTAGTTACTTGGTCTGTTCACCAACGATAGTAGACAAAGAGGGTTTGAACATCCGCTCTCTCAATGTTTCTATGAATGCATATGGAGCTGAAATGAAGAATCATAAAGAAAGCAATAAAACAATATCATCAATGTAAAAAAGCAAACAAAATAATAAAACAATAAGAATCAATTTGATTGAAAAGCATGAATTGCATCTCTTTTAAAAAGATGCCAATCTAACAGTTTAATTCGACAAGCAAGCTAAACTATTTATATAATAATCTAAGCATAAAATTACAAAATGTTGAGCTGAGAGAAATTTAGTGAAGACGAAAAAAGACCAAATATTGTAATATGGACATAAAATGGCTTATATACTATTATATTGCAACGTGTCTTTAAGTTGCAATCAACCATAACATCTCCAAATTGCATTTTCTAATTTTTTACACTCCTCCCAATTATAAAATCTCAGTATATGAAGGTGACTATTGGTGCAACAATAAGGTTGCTCTTATATGACTGGTAAGTCAAAAGAAAAAAAAAAAAAAAAAGAAAAAGGCCTCTTTACAAAAGCTGGTGGATGTTTGCATAGGTAGATGACCCTTCCCTATCCCTGCAATACAAAGAGCCTCCTGCACTACATATGTTCATTTTTATGTGTATATACATTAATAAGTATAAAGCACTTCAATATAAAACTATCACTTAATATGTGAATTTTGATGCTTTTCATTCAATTGAGTCGAGATTTTCCAAGACGGGAGAGATGATGTAGCACAATGGCAACTAGTTTACAGAAGATGTGCCAAAGTAGGTACTAATGCCTAAGTTTTTAATCAGCACATATTGGATGATAAGAAGCTTCATTGGGAACTCAATTAAGTGTTTGGGAAATTAACAGGAATTTATCTTTTATAAAAGAGCGGTATTTTGGTAATTTCCAGATCAGCTGGAAGAATTGCTTGGATGTCTTCAGCAACCTTTATTTTTAGTTTGAAGTTTAGTTTAGAGTCCTTGACTTGGAATAATATTTTTCCTTTTAGTTTATTTTGGTAGTCGTAGGTTGTGGACTAGTTTTTGAAATCCTTTTCTTAGAGGTTTTAGGATTAGTTAGGTCTATAAATAACTAAGATTGCATTACTCTCATTCAGTTTTTTTATTCAATGAAAAAGCAATCCTTGTACTAACAGTGCTTCTCCAAGCAAGGATTTAAATAACGAAAACCAGAAAAAGCGATTCAAAAATTCAGACTGAATCAGTCTAAATCAACTGTTGATACCATGAAATAAGTACTATTATAAACAAAACTTTTTTTTTTATCAACAATACACGATATTAATATTATTTTTTTTCCAGCATTTTCCTCATCTAACAATCATGTAATAAATGTTTGGAATGAAAATTAAAAAAAAAAAAAAAAATGAATGCACAATTGTTTTTCTGCCTTTTTTCCTTTTAGACAAAAGGCGACCTAGGTCACTAAGCATTCCATATTTGAAGAGTTGACTTAGCAGCCTTTCCCCCGTTTTTGCAAATAAACAATTTTCGTGGCTCAAACTCATGACCTCCAAGTCACTATTGGAGTAACTTAACCATTAGACCGAAGCCACCCTCTCTTTCTCCTTTTCTAAATTTTAAAATTTTATTTTTACTTCAAGTAGGTCTTTAGATTTTTTTTTTTTTTTTTTTTCCATATGAAGAGTTGACTTTAGCAGCCTTTCCCCCGTTCTTTGCAAATAAACAAAATTTTCGTGGCTAAACTTCATGACCTTCAGTCACCTATTGGAGTAATTAACCATTAGAGCCGAAGTCCACCCTCTCTTTACTCCTTTTTCTAAATTTTTAAAATTTTATTTTTACCTCTCAAGTTAGGTCATTAGAATTTTTTTTTTTTTTTTTTTTGAAACAAGTATTTTTTTTTTTTTTTTTTGAAACAAGTGTAGATCTTTAAGATTTTTTTTTTTAATTATTTTGTGGTGAAATATTGAACTTATTGGTTCCTTAAACTGAGGAAAATGAAAACAAAATTAAGCAAACCTAAATCTAAGGTGTAATTGTCATTAGAAAAGGGAAACAAAAACACGGGTATAAAATAAGAAAAATAGGCACTAACAATTGTCTACATTGTCGTTTTCCTCCTCCAAAAAATTGTAAGAACAATCATTTCTCACAATTTGGTCATCTTATCGTTGTTTTTTAAGGAAATGCCAAATCACTGGTGGTAACCATAAATAATGAATCGACACCAGGATATGAAACACCCATTTCACCATTTTGCTAAAAACTTTTAAATCCATGTTTCCATTACTGAGAAACAGCCACCATGCTTCTTTTCGATTTATTCTACTTTTCAATTCCACATTTTTAGAAATCCTAATAGGCCAATTGGAACAAACTAAAATCGTAGAATTCATTTGTAAATGAATACCAAGTAGATTTATCTTTGTAACAGCGTAAGTTTAAACATATAATTCAATTGGATTCAAATATTTTTATATTAGAAATAAAATTAAAATTGAATTATTCTTGTCCTTACTAAAATATCCTAAATATAATAAATTGTTGTAACAAAGTAACATAAATAAAAAAAATAGTAAATAATACTCCATATTCAATCAATATTGAGTTTCAAAATACAAAAGAAAATTTAGTTGAGAAAGGAGAGAGGAAAGACAAAGAAGAGGAGGAGAGAGAGAGAGAGAAACAAGAATGAAATAATATGGACATTTTTGTTTTATCACATTTGGAAATTCCACGCATTTTGATAAAATTTTATTCAGTTATGTTTAATTGCATAACATTGAATTCATGGAATTGAAATAAATATTTTTCAATGTTCCATCATGAAGCTCAAGATGAAATCCACAATTTTATAGACATTTATTTCAAATGGTGTGTAACTACGAACTAAAGTTTCCACACATTTTAGTTTTCAAAAAAAAAAAATTCTTTACAGCCTTAACAATCAACTTTCAAGCTACACTAAAAATGCCCAAGCTCATCAACAAAACGACCAAGGCAAAACAGCTCACTAAAATTGCTTAATAGGTGTTGAATAAAAAATCAATAGGGTGAATTACTATTCAATCCCTATAAATAGGTAAAATTTAAAAATCAATACCTGTGTTTTCAAATTAATTAAATAGGCCCTTTATTTTGTTACCATTCAACTAAATAGTCCTTCCGCTAAGATTTTGCCCATTTTTTGTTAGTTAACTGAAGAAGTCAAAATAGAACATTTTTTGTTCCAATTTTTCTTTTTTAACAAAAGTTACCATATACATTCTTTAAGCAAAGACTGGACAAGTGTTAAGTCTAGTAAGGAGGCAGATTATGAATCAAATTACAGGGCCCAACTTTGTACAATAGTTAGTTCAGAACCAATCAAGAATCTCCAAGGAATTAACAGCAGAAATTACAAATAACAACAATTACATGGTAAATGATGGCTGGGAGGAGAATTGAACCCATGATCTTTGGTCATGGGTGCGTCCATCTTAGCCACTAGACTAAGGCTTCATTGGCCTTTTCGTTCCAATTTCACGCTTGAGGAAAAGAAATCAAATTTTATTGTCAAATTTTAACTAATACTTTAATCTAAACATATAAATTTCATGCTATTTTTAATGAGCTTTTATTTACGAATAAGGACTGGTGATGTTTAGGATTAAAGAAAAAACTAATTTACAATTTAATCCTAACCATATTACAATTCTCATGTAATTTTTAATGAGGCTTTATTTACACGAATAAAGGACTGGATGTAGGATTAAAGAAAAAAAACTATTAAAATGTTTGCATTCCGTACTAAGCATGCAAATAAGGAAATTCGAAGTTTTGTAAGGTAAAATTGATATTTCATTCTTATATAATTATAGAGGAAACCCAAATTTTTAATGTTCAATATTCACCCCTTTGAGGAAAAGAAACCAAGTTTTATTGTTCAAATTTTACCTATACTTATCTAAACACATAAATTCCGCATGCTATTGTATTTATGCAGCTTTTATTTCGAATTAGGATTGTGATGTTCAGGATTTAAAAGGAAAAAACCTAAATGTTAGACTTTAGGTGATTATGCATAGGCAAAAGAAAATTCGAAGTTTTGTTAAGGTAAAGATTGGACTAATTTCATCTTAATTTATAGAAAAAATTACAAGGAACTATTTAGTTGAACGACAACAAAATAAAGTGTACCATTTTAATTGATCTTTGGAAAACAATATTCCTGACATTTGTGAAATTCACAATCATAGAGGGACATCAAATGAATTCACCGCTAAAAAGTATACTTGAAAAATAAAATTATATGAAAAATATCATGTCAACAATTAAATAAAATTAGTCAAGGTTATCAGCTAAACATTTAGTCTTGCATGATCTCCTATTTTGCAATCTTCTTACCAACTGGCAAATACTGTACTGCTTTAAGTAAATGAATTACTAATTTAGTCCGTTAGCCTTATAAAACATAGTACAATATATCAGGATTCCCTAACTTTTAAAAAGTTAATTTAATGGTTCCTCAATATTTATTAACTAGTCCACTAAGATACACATATCGAGCTATGACACAATCTGCTTGTGAATTAATTTGGATTCGTCAATTGTTAGAGGAAATTGGCTTCAAGTCATCCTTGCCTGCAAAGTTATGGTGTAATAATCAAGCTGCTCTTCATATTGCATCATATCCAGTATTCCATGAACAAACAAAACATATCGAGATTGATTGTTATTTCATTCGGAAAAATATACAATAAGGTGTTATCTTTACAGGGTATGTTAAAACAAGTGAACAGTGAGGAGATATCTTTACAAAAGCTCTAAATGGACCTCGAGTAAATTATCTTTGTAACAAGTGGGGCATGATTAACATCTATGCCCCCACTTGAGGGAAAGTATTAAGAATTAGTTGTAAATAGAACTCTCTTAGGGAGTTAGATTCCTAATGAGTTTATAGTCTCTTGTATGTGTATTAGGAGTTAGATTTCTAATAGGTTTATAGTATCTTGTATGTGTATATATATGTGTCCCTATTGATGAATCAAATATAAGAAAATATTTTTCCCTATTAAATTTACATGGTATCAGAGCCTTTGGCTCGTTAGCATTTTT